GATTTCAAAACTGCTGGTTCACTGAGTTTTCATGCACTCATTTGACTAGGACGAATGTATCAGGATTCGCTGAAGCTTGGCAATGAATGCGGTGAAAACCGCTTGAGTCAACTTTGCATAGTGACTGATATTGCCAAATGCCCCTCAGCCTTAACATGGTTGCAAGCACGCCTTTGAGCCAAAAAACTCGATTTTGGACGGCGAAAACTTCTGGTCAGAAGTTGACACATTGTTTACATGACGAAGCATTCATGCAAAGTTGTCAGAATCTTAGCAAAGACGCAACTGCAACGTTGTAGTTAAAAAGCTTCATCGGTTAAGTTGTACGCATACATACCTTCAATTCTGCTTCTTTGCGTCGTTAGCTAGTCAAACCGAATGGAACTGTTGTGAGAACTCCAAAGTTCCGAACGGATTTCCACCCGACTGAGTGGTGGTTAGAATGGGTCTTGGTTATAAGCAGTGTGTTTCCCATTTTTGAAGGAACAACGCTCGAGGGGAAACCGAAATTCTCAAAGTCGTGATGGTTCCGGTAATGCGCACGAGATCGTTGTGGGGTGAACCTAATGAGAACATGGCAGAGGTTTCCGGGCATAAAAACACATACTCCGTTGCTCGGAAGATCGTCTACATAAAGTTGAGATTGAGGATAGTTCAGGATATTAGCGATATCAGTGACCGCGCAGAGTTGACTCAAGCGCTACTCACCGGATTCATTGTAAGGGCTCAGCGAATCCTGAAACCTCCATCCTAGTTGAGTAAGTGCATGTAAACTCAGTTAACCAGCAGTTTTGTGAAAAAATGTGACTTTTTACGCATTTTGAAGCAAAAAATGCAGCTAAATCTTCTTGAAAAGAAGCGACAGCTCAGAGATGTGACAGATGTTTCATAAAATTATATTTCCGCACAAGACTTTCTCTTCCGGCGATGTACCCTCGTCCAATCTATTGCGACATGCACCTCTAGCGCTGGAGAGGAGATCCCAGGTGGGGATTAGGCCAAAGAGGACGGCTTGCACCAATGTTGTGAGGCACTTCTCTCGTTTAAAAGCTTGTTCCTCACCCCCAGCTATTGATCCTGCCATATAGAAATAACAGCGCTCTCAATTTGCTCAAACACCAATCAGTTATCCATTGCAATACACTCGCAATGTCAGAGCGAGTAAATCTTGCGATCACAAACAGAGATATCATTTCAAAACAACTTACTTTTTTGGAGCTCAGGTGCGGAAGAGGAACAATGACACACCAAACTCAATGGAAAACTCTACGACAGTTGGCGCGCCGAGCAGAAAATCGACGACGGTAAAAGAGCGTGATTCCCAGTACAACCTATTTAGTTTTATACAGCGTCAGGAAACAATGAGTGAAGTGATCACGACTGATGTCAAGCCAGCGGCACCCTCATATGTTAACGTTCAAGAGGTAGGTAGACGTAAAGACCCAATTATGAAAGATTTTCGACGTTTTCAGGATAAACGTTTGTCGCAAATGTTGCCGCCAGCGGCAGCGCCGCAACCCGCAACAAACTCATTTGTCGTACTCAGAGAGAGCCCAATGCCAGCCGTTCAACCAGCAGTCAGAAGTTCGTTCGTGCCAACCAGAGAGAGTCCAATGCCAGCCGTACAGCCGGCAGCAAGAACTTCTTACATTGTGACCAGGGAGAGTCCAAATCCAATTACTCAAAATCCGCCACAGCAGTTCGCAGCTAATGACTGGACAAACAACGTATCAGAAGTTCCACGAAGAGAATTTGTTCCGGTAGTAAGTAAATTACTGCTTACACGCGCCAAATGTCGCCATCCGCGCATGAAATTCTCGACTGCCATCTCTCATTCGGAGCACATAAATAGTGAGAAACCGTGTAATGGCTGCGCTGAATTAGTGCATTATGGTAGCTTCTTATTTCTCAATATGCATGTCTAGTTGCCGGCAATCGACCCCGCCGACTATCGCCCGGATGAACCAGAAGTGAAAAGAGTAAACGAACGTCGTCCACCTGTTGGTGGTCGTTTGGTCCTGCCTACTTCCATCGATGCTTCAGTTATTGGAAATAGAGCATCAATGCACAACGTCGAAGAATACATTCAACCGAGCTATACCGCCAATCGCCCAGTTTCGCAGGTTGCGCAAGTCCCACAAATTCCGGCAAAGCCAGCAGGTTCGTCAATTTTCTCAAAATCTGTCATTGGGTCTCAGAAGAATTTCTGTCTAAATGGGCACCTTCGAAGCATTTGCGTTAGAATAGTTATGCAAGTTGAAGGCGCTATTCGGCTGTCCGTCTTTCAAAGATCTACCCATATATTTCGCACAAACTTGACCCATGATGTTTGTGCTATGCTTCACAATTGAAAAGAGAACATACGCACAAGAATATCTACCGTTGCGAAGGTCGCTAAGAGATTAATGCAGATTTCGCCAAAATCTAGCCGATGGCGATTGTGTATTGTAGTCAAATCAGTGCTCATGTCGTATATACTGTTTGCGAGGACCCACGATGTTTGATTAGGCTCAAAGGTCCACCTAAAGTACGTTACAATATTTGTCGTCTTTCTAAAAGTAGTAGAGCTCATATCATTTTAATCAGCAAGCAATTAGATACAACTAAGCAACCTATTTCAGGAAGTAGTAAAGGGATTTTATGCCAAAACCTTTGCAGAAACTTTCTTTGGTAATCTGCATAGCGTCTGTCATCGATTGTGCACTTTTTACATTCCGTTTAGGTATATTTTTCTTACTATTTAGTAAGGCACGCGCCATGCTTGATCTGCGTAATCCACTTAATCCGCTTGATCCGCTTCATCATTGGTCA